GGCGCCTGTAGTCCCAGCTACTTGGGAGGCTGAGACAAGAGAATCACTTGAGCCCAAGAGTTTGAGATTGCTATGAGCTGTGATGCCACGACATTCTACCAAGAGTGACAGCTGGAGACTCAAAAAAAAGAAAAGAAAAAACAAGTGGCTTTGCCATGTCTAAGCTGTGTTGTTTAGAGCTGGCGCTGGTGTCAAAGCCATCATTTTTTACTACTCTTTAAGTGGTAAATATCTGACCAGGGGACAAAGCCTGACTCTAACAGTAGTCCAAGATGTGTAGGCTCATAAAGTTTGGGGCTGGAGCAGATTTTTTTTCTTTTTGAAGTTTTTGGCCGGGGCTGGGTTTGAACCTGCCACCCCCAGCATACAGGGTCAGCGCCCTACTCCTTTAAGCCACAGGCGCTGCCCAGGGCAGGGGCAGATTTTGATATGCTTATTTCCTGTGGCAGTACAGATTAAGGGCCAGATAGTAAATACTTTAAGCATTGTGGGTCACATGCTCTGCCACTGTAGCGTGAAAGCAGCCACAGACAATATATGAACAAATGAGCAGGGCTGTGTTCTGATAAACTTTATTTACAAAAACAGACAGCTGGATTTCAATCTAAGATCTATCATGTGCTGATCCTTGGTATAAATAAATTAAGCTAGCAAAAGTTTAATTGTTACAGTTTTATAAAATTTTCATGATCTTGAAAAAAATGATTTCCTTTGTGTAAACTGTCATTTTTGTTGTCTGTCTTTTTCTATTGATAAGATAAAGTTGTCGTTCCCTGACAATAACTCCAGATTACCAAAGTAAAAGGCCTTTGGCATGCCACAGAATTGTGCATTCATTTGTATTCTATAATTTTAAAATGAAACCTCTTTCTCTTGACAGATAAACACTACATGTGAAGAGTGCTGAAAGGGAACACCGATTACGAGAGTGGCAGGAGAGGGAGAGCACTGGTCCACATCACGTGGCGGAACTCTCACTGTCTTCCAAAGATGCTGAAGTAGTTTTTGCTACTGCTCTCCTTCATCAGTGAACGCTCTTTACAGCATGGGGTGTATGAAATCAAAGCAAACTTTCCCCTTTCCTACCCCACTGGAAGCTGAGAAGCAGCGTGACAATGAAGTTGGCATTAGGCCAGAAGAGAGATCAAAGATGGTGTCTTCAGCTGGTGTCAAACAGGAAGTGAAGGGGTCCTCGGGGACCAGTACTGTGATTCTCGAATATGCACACCACCTGTCCCAGGAAATCTTGCGTGATGCCCTGAAGCAGTGGGCATTCGCTAACGTCCAGTACTCTGACGTCCCCTACATTGAAAGTGAGGAGGCTAATGGGTGATGACACTTTCCTGACTGGAGATAGTTGGTGCTAGCTTAAATACATGAAACAAGCAAAAACTGGTGTGGATAAGTACAAATCGCTCCCATCTGGATATAAAAACATGTCTGTGGTAACGTTACCAGTGTAAGAATACTGAAGATGAAATGCGTTTTGAGCAGTTGTATGTTAACAGCACTTTCTCTCTGCTTGGTCTTAGATTTCAGTCATTTGAAGGGCTTAATGGAGGTCCTATGGCACCCAGTAATGAGTGGTACACCACGGCACTTTTTCCTGAGGTAGTAATGACATCACCAAAGAAAATATTGAAGAATAAGCATCCAAGTTCCAATGGTTAAAGACATAATTTCCCATTAATTTATACCTTAAAAAAAGCACACACATAAAAAGGGTTTCTCAAAATGCCTTGGCAAGGGAATGACACCCAAGCCATAGTGATCAATAATGGTTCTTATTTGTCAAAACCATTTGTATCAAGGATTTCCCCTTCTTTACACACAGATGATCTAGCATTAGAAAACAACCCATGTAAAAGTGGTCCATCTCAAGCCCTGACTCTAAAAAATTATTTTTGCAGATGAAAAGCCTGACCACCATCTTGAACCACAGGGCCCTAACTAACTACAGTTGTTACTAAATGACTTAGGATTTTGCATATAAAGCCATTTTAAAGAGATAACAATTTATAGAAGCCATGACATTGTTTATTGCATTGAGGTAATAAGCCCAGCCATATAATGATACAAAGAAAACAAGTAGCTACCTTTTATAATTAGCAATCCAGGGAATGTTAAGCATCCTCTTCCAAAATAGAAAGCAGAACGTGATGTCAGTACTAATTGTGTATGAAGCTTAGACTGCCACAGATGCAGAAGACTGGAATATAGCCTAGTTTCTGTTCTCAGTTTTGTTTTTTTTAATTGATAATGGGACAGTCACTATTTAAATTATGGTGGGACCAGACAATTAATGCATGAGGATTTATAGTAGTATTACAAAACAGAAAAGACAAAACACTTCCTCAAAAAAGTGTTGTCTATTTTTTTAGTGGTAACACATGCCTATAGGACATTTATAGCCATCTCCCATACTATTTTTATAAGTCTGGGTACCTTTGGAAGAGGGACAGCTCATTTTCTTTTTTACTATCTTAACACCCACACACATACACACATGCACACTTTTTTTTTTAAAGAATAAGTGCAAGTACCGATTGAAGATCAGTAGTAAAAAAAATATTTGGGACAGGGGAAAAGACATATTTGTAGGAAACCTGGGACTGAGTTTCTAGAATAATCTTCATGAAGATTTGCTACATATAGTTTAAATGGAAAAAAGATTATTTAATCCCATGTATGAGGTCTGATAAGTTTGCAAACTTGTGGCCATGCGTTTACATTGGCAGTACTGTGAAAACTTGGTAAATTTGACGTGTGGTGGTATCTTGCTGAGTAGCATTCATTGTTACGTGTTTTTGTGTGCCATTGTGGGAATGTTGAAGCTTGAATTAGAGCAACAAACAAACATCCATAAATTTCTTCTTAAACTTGGCAAGAGTGAAAGTGAAATCAGGGACACGGTAGTCAGTTTATAGGATAATGCCATGATGAAAATGGCAGTGTACCGATGGATTAAATATTTTTCTGAGAGAAATGTCACAGATGAAGAGAGGTCAGGGGGCAGCCAGTAACCAGCAAAACTGACAAAAACATTGCAAAAATTCATCACATTGTGCATTGAAATTGTTGGCTGACTGAGCACAGCAGACCAAGTAAATATCAATAGAGAAACAGCAAAATCTTCACTGAAAATTTGGGCATAAGAAAGGTGTGGTTCTTGTGTCATGACAATGCACCAGCTCACACCGCATTGTGTATGAGGGAGCTTTAGCCAGTAAACAAATACCTATTGGAACACCCTCCCTACCCACGTATCTGGCACCCCAAGGACCTTTTTTCTTTACCCAAAGATAAAGGAAAGACATTTTTGATGGCATTCAGGACATCAAGAGTAATATAATGATAGCATTGATGGCTACGCCAGAAAAGAGAGTTTATTTGCTTTGAAGAGTGGATTAGGCCCTGGAGTCAGTACATGGCTTCCCAAGGGGAATAGTTCACAGGTGACTGTGTGATACTCACCAATGAGGTATGTAGCACTTTTTCTAGGACAAGTTTACAGACTTAATTGTCAGACCTCATAAGTTCATTTTATTAACACACCATTGTTGATAAAGTCTAAACAAAGGCAGAGGAAGGCCTGATCTCTTTAATGAGATAAATACATATTTGACATTGTAAGGAAGCAGGAACGCAACCTCTAATTTTTAACAACTTTTTAAAACTTTGAAATGCGCAAATAGTACATTCTCCAAATTACATGAGCAAAGAAAAGCTACTTGAAATGACTACTCTGCCATCTTTTCAGTTGCCTTTGGACACACCATTCAGCTTTAATTCTATTGATACCTAGTCCCACATTTTGTACTGTCCCATTGTACTTTCAGTAGAGTGATTTATATTAATGTAATAGAAAAATAACTATTCATGTTCATACAAGAATCTGAAGTCATCCAACTAAGGGCACAAAGTTTCCCATAAGTATAAAACATTTCCAGGTCATGAAGACAAGTTTAGGTGTTTACCCAGATATGGTGATTTTTCATTCATTTTATCTCTCGTGACATTTGCTGCAAAGTTATTTTTTGTTTAAAAGAAATTAGGGATGTGCAATAGTAAGTACTATGGTGAAGACACAAAGCCACATAAAGCATGCCCGGTTACAGTTTTTAGTATACAAACGGATAGTAATGAGTGGATTTGGGTGGTATCTAAACATTTTAACTTCAGGTTCCTTCTCTGCCCAGAGCCCCTATCTCACGGGGATAACAGGGATGCCTCCCAGACTATATTTAGCAAGAAGTCTAATCTCTATTGCTACTATCTCTCAGCAACTATGGCAGCATAGTTTTGTCCCTGAGAACGACCCCCTTGCCCTGGAATCATATTTTAATAGAGTATGATATCTTGTGTACAATATTTCCAAGAGACTTATCTTTAAAGAATGTGCTTCATTATATGTCAACATATGAACAAGGACCCACAAGACTTGCATAATCAGTAAGCTGATAGATAAACCAAGTTGGGGACAGGTAGGAGAACAGAGCTGAATAAACAAACTTGTATGACATATGATAGTTGTCTCAGCACAGTATACTTTGCCCTTGATAATAAGATGAGAATTATCTTTGATAGGATAATTAGCCTTCTTTCATACCTTTATATTGAAATATTGGCTTTACTTCATTTTGAAGGTCTTTCATGAACAATAAAAGAGTAGTAGGTCTGTTGAGAAGGAAGGAAACATATAAAACAGAAGACTGAAAGGAATATTTGCTACTGGAAAGGCAAACGTGGAACATCCAGAGTAAGGGCACAACGAAGAACCTCCAGGTGGCAATTGTGGAAGCAACTATCAGAGAAAACAGAAGTGCCAATTCCTGTTTACGGAGACCCACAGAACCCCCCCCACACACGTCACTGCTGCCTTCCCCAGTTGGTCTCATGCTGTTACATTTCAGTTACATGCCTTTAATCCAAGAATTCTCCACTTTTAGTTGCCTTATCAGTTCTCTGCAAACTGCCTGTGATTATTAGCACTTAAAAAGCACAATTTTGAGGGCACCAAAAAAATTATCATTTTGTGTCAAATTGCCTTATTAGTATTAAAAACAGACACACTGAATAAAGTAGCATAATGTTCATATCCTACTCAATATCATCGGCATTTTATGAGATAGAAGAACTATACTTTTGTACTATATAGTTTAGAAATCAAAAGTTAGGGATGCTTCAGAAGTAATGTCAAGGAATAGTAATTTAAAAACAAATACATAGTTTGCTTAATTGTAAAACCCTCATCCTATATCTGGATGACCAAATAGGACATGTCTTCCTTGGCGCTGTGTGCTCAGAAGCACTATCTGCATCTTAATTTACAAAACTCAAGTTTTGTTAGCAGATTCTCTTCTCTGTAAGACTGCGAAGTGGCATATTTTTTCCAAATATTTTTGTGAAAAAATTTTTGTAACTGTACAATAAAAATCCAGTTGCAATTAACTATTGTGAGTTCTTAAGTTATGAGTTCTTATTTAACTGAAGGCAAATACTTTTCATCATTACATACTTTTAAATTCTTAACATGAAAAGCATATTTTCTGCATTGTTAACAAATGTAAAAGTAAATAAAAATCCATTCATACAAATAATTTCTTGGATCATTCAGGTTCAATTTAGGAAGTTTAAGAATACAAATGAAAACATGCCTAATATCATGGCATCTTTATTCCAGATCTGTTCCTAAATTTTACAGAAGAAAATGTATTACATAAAATAGATTAAAAATTGAAAAAATTTAAACCAGTATCTTCCCGGCTGTAATTTTCTCATTTATGAGAAGGGTACAAGCCATAGTCTTTGATGTTTCAGCTTGGTTGGCTTTTTGTTCTTATCAACCTGAAGTTCTCTTAGCTTTGGGGGTATGAGATGAAGAAACTACAACAAGTTACAGATTAAATGGTAAACTGATCTTTAATTTAAAATTCTTACCCAGAACTTTGAGTCTGTAAAACCTTGCAGTTTCTTGTGTATCTTAAAAAGCACTTATTTTGTCAATAATACCAATTATTGAAGATATAAACAAAAGTCTTGTTTTCAATTAATTTTTCCTCTTGATTTGTACCTTATATAAAGACAATTAACTTATCACACACAAGTCTGATGTAAATTACAAAAAGCATAGTGTCTCTTAAGAAATCGGTAGTTTCTTAATTTCTCATTCTGTCAGAATAACGAATACTGCAAATAACAAGAAATAATACTTTAACTTCTACCCTGAGAAGGTATTCTTATTAAGAAAAGCAAAGGCGGCTCAGTGCCTGTGGCTCAAGTGGCTAAGGCGCCAGCCATATACACCCAAGGTGGCAGGTTCGAATCCAGCCCGGCCCGCCAAACAACAATGACGACTGCAACCAAAAAATAGCCGGGCGTTGTGGAGGGTGCCTGTGGTCCCAGCTACTTGGGAGGCGGAGGCAGGAGACTCACTTGAGCCCAGGAGTTGGAGGCTGCTGTGAGCTGAGATACCACGGCTCTCTACCCACGGGGACAACTTGAGGCTCCTGTCTCAAAAAAAAAAAAGAAAAGAAAAGCCAAGGCTGGCTCAGTCCCCGTAGCACAGTGGTTATGGCACCAGCCACACATACCAAAGTTGGCAGGTTTTAACCCTGCCCAGGCCAGCTAAAACAACAATGACAAGTGCAACAAAAAAATAGCTGGGCATCGTGGTGAGTGACTGTAGTCCCAGCTACTTGGGAGGCTGAGGCAAGAGAATCGCTTAAGCCCAAGAGTTTAAGGTTACTGTGAGCTATGATGCCACAGCACTCTACATAGGGCAACATAGTGAGACTCTGTTAAAAAAAAAAAAAAAGCCAAAGCTGACATAATAAGAAAGATAACTTCATAAAAACATTTTTGCTTGGCCCGAGATTTCTAATGTTTATAAAAGGAGCTCTTCTGCTATGGTAACCCAATCATTTAAAATACACTCATAGAGGAAATTCTATAAAGTATTAACACAGTATAAAAAAAAAGAAACCTTGGGTGGCGCTTGTGGCTCAAGGAGTAGGGCGTTGGCCCCGTATACTGGGGGTGGCCAAACTGCAACAACAACAAAAAAAGAAACCTTTCAGGGTCTTTATTTTTGACAGTCTATATCTAAGTTTACTTAATCAACCTGTAACCACTACCAAAAACAAAACAAAGTTCCCATGTCCATTAGATATACTAACTTGACAGAGTCTCTGACGATCTTTGAATTTTCCCATCTTTAAATACAAGGGTTGGCAAACTCTGATAAGAACCAGACAGTAAATTTTTCAAGCTTTGCAGGTTACATGATCTCTGTTGTAACTAAAACAGACAAATACAGCTATCTTCTAAGAAAGCTTTATTTGTGAACACAGATATTTGAATTTCATATAATTTTCACAAATCATGAAATTTTAGTCTCTTACTCTTTCCCCAAACATTTTAAAATGGCAGATACCATCCTTCGTTTGCAAGCTGTGTATAAAAACAGACAGCAGGCTGGATTTAGCCCACATGCTATAGTTTGCCAGCCACAGCTCCAAAATATACCTGAAAAAGCCAGTCACCTCAAAATTTCAAATCATTGCTTCCTAGAGACTTAAAGTGATTATTCACATCTTCATCAGTAACTTCTTTTAGATCAGCTGGTTTCCACTTTGGACTCTGGTCTTTGTCAATTAAAACTGTCAAGAGAAGATAGAAATATCAGTACATTTCTTTCTGGTATTACAAGATTTTAATTACTGAATTGACAGAAACTACCTTGTCCTAGGCATATTTTTCTATAGCACTTTTTCCCCCAAAGTTTAAGTTTTTGTATATGTTCTATTTTTTAAATTAAGCCCAAGGAAAAGGAATATGGATGGATAGCAATATACTTTTGATGACCAGTGTAAATATTTTCTAACTTTCTTATGCCTAGCTTTAATAATACCTATTAAGTAATCCAGGAGCTAAGTCTTTTTTATTCTTCAAATAAAATCATAAATGAAACCTATCACAAAACAGCTAAAACCAGAGTTGGTGTGGTTTTAAAGGGAAGGCAGGGGAGAGCAGAAGCACCTGATGTGCCTCTAACCTCTTCCACATTGGGATTTGGGAGGAAAATTAATTGCTTAAGGTAGAGAGAAGGAGACTCTATGCATAATTAAACATGGATATGTTGTTCTGCTGAATCCTCCAGTTCAGACAGTTCCAAGTTTAAAAATCAGACCACCTTCAGGTTATCATAAAACCTTTACTTCTCCTATTTCGGTACAGTCATCACTTAGTGCAGCCACACAGTATCCCCACAGGAGTTTAAGTATGAGGCAATCTCTAACCTCTCCCCCAAAAGGGAGGGCGATGTCCGTTTCCTGGTTGTGATAGTATACTGGAATTACACAAATGTTATCATTTGGGAAATGAGGTGGAGAGTATTCAGTATATTTTATTTCTTACTACTGCATGTGAATCTACAATGATTTCAAAACTTCTTTTAAAAAAAGGTATGGATGTGGCAGGAAATGTCCAACCATGCTTAAAATGTACAAAATTCTTATGAAAAATGGAAATATCTAAACATGTAAACAACACAATGAAATGGGAAAACCTAAGATAGCATTCAAAGGCTAAATAGTTAAAGCAGCAACGTGGGAGCCAAGGAAGGAAGACGGTCTCGGTAGGGAGAAGGAAGCTTCTATGCAATTAAGTGTGGGTACTAGAGGTTTTTAAGGTTTGGTTGCCTACTCTGAGATTCTGGTGTTAGCTCATGGGTGATGATGTTCTGATCCCTACTGATTTGAATGTTTTATATTCCCTGAACTTTGTAAACAAAGACCAATCCCCAGACATTCTTTTCACAAGAACCCTTCCTCTTTAAGTCTTCTGGCCAATACTATCGACCTCCTTGGGATGCTCCTGAAGAGCAAAAAGAAAGATAGTATTAATCAAATTTGCGTTTTTTTATTTCAAGCTAACAATATCTTTCACCTAAAATAGACACAGTGTGAATTCTTGCCACGTAGGCACCTCAGGTTTTTCAGAAGGTCTCCTGAGAAACCCACTCAGACTCCACTTGGTAGCTATCTAATTCTTCTAAAATAGCCCATTTTTATTTTCTTCTATAACCAGAAATAGTTTGCTGTTGATATTAAGAGTAAGAATTTTTAATAACCAATTCCCTAATTTGCTAGTTTATTTTGTCTAATATACTAACTTTTTTTAAATTTCAGATTAATATGAGGGTGCACATGAGATTAGGTTACAATGTTTGTGTTTGTTTGGTAAGATCAAACCCAAGAGGTGCAACATGTCCCCTTACATTGTGCCCCTTAGGGGAGAGCACACTGACATATTTTTATAATTAGCAAATTGTAGCAAACATCTGATTATGCAAGATCACTAAACCATTTTACCCACAATAGATAATGCTTTCTGAATAAACATGCATCAAGAATTTGCAGAGATAGCCAGGCATAGTGGTGCATGCCTGTACTCCCAGCTACTCAGGAGGCTGAGGCAAGAGGATTGCTTGAGCCCAGGAGTCTGAGGTTGCTGTGAGCCGTGATGATGCCACGGCACTCCAGTATGATAGATTAAGACTCTGTCTCAAACCAGAAAAAATTTTAAAAAATAATAATTTGCAGATAATTAGTGGGGAAAATACGTATTTTACTTGGTTTCAAACCAAGTTTCTAGCTCAACCTCATGTGTCTTCTAAAAGGATTTGAATTAAGTACTTATTTCTGATATTATATCATGTGATATTATATCATCTCTCATCAGAGCTTAGAGAACATAACCTTTTTTTTAGACAAAAAAGTATAACCAGTGTCTGTACTATATTACAACGATTAATAAAAACATAAGAAAATATACAAAATACATTCAGAAGGAAATAACTTGTTTTATGTAACTTAAATAACAGCTGTATATAAGGATCTGGATTATACATTAAAAGGAATTGTTGCAAGTTTGCTAGGAAAAAAAACATAAACCACTTCACTTGCTTTCTTTAAATATTCTTGCTTTGGAGATGATAAGCAAAAGTAGGAAGTATAGCAAGAACGTTAGAAGATGTTGCTGATTACATGGTATGGTTTTTTTCCCCCAGCAGTGTTCACCTGCTCATCAAGAGTGAGTGTGGGAATACTTAAGGGAAGAGTCATATCTGGATGTGTCTGCATTACTAGTAATAATCATTTTATAAGTTTGAAACAAATATTTATTAATTGTTAGTAGATCAGAAATATTAGGAATAGGGAACAGACTCTGGACAAAGGGGGATAGTAATAGAGGATTGATTCAGACACAATTTCCTGGCTTTCAGCACAAAAGCCAGACTGTGTCACTTTAATATTCTGAAGCCTGGCATGTTGAATATCCCTCCACCCCCTAACAGCTGCCACACAGCCACAGGCCAGAGGCCTTGTGGCCGTTTTCTTTCAGGGTGGGACTGTGTGCTCTGGGGGAGTGCTTTTTGGGAGTTAAGAATGTAGAATCTGTAAACTTTGTCCAACACAGGAAGACTTGCTCCAGACCAGAGAAGAAGAAATACTTCTTTTCTTCTGTCTCCTTAATTGGGCCAGAGGCATCGATCTATCTGGACACAAAGCTATCAGAGTATTAAAACATCTGTGATGTATGACTGTGGGTCAGCTAAGATTTGGTCCTTGAGTCAGCCTCTAATTGGTTACCTTATCAAGGCTCTGTATGAAAACCATATACCTTAAAATAAAATGTGGCAAGTAAATCCATGTAATTAACATAATCAGTATAGAGTTACTCTAGTAAGTAAAAATGCAAGCACAGCAAAAACAATGATGGGAGTGTTTGCCTTGACTTCCAGAGATTTATGATTGTAACCCTGATGTTTGAAATAAATACAGAGCTAGCCTGATACTCGGGGCAGCATACTAGAAGCCTCCTGAAGGAGGATGTGCTGCCTCCCAAATCCCCACTGCTCTTAAAACTATCTTTGTCTCTGTCTATTATTTCTCTAAAACTATCTATGTCTCTATTAATTTTCTAAAACTCTCATTAATAATAATTCCAACAGTCCCTTGCCCCACCAGGCCACTAGGAAGTAGACTCACAGCGTGTTGGGGCTGGTATCCCCGATAATCAAGTGTAGGCAAGAACATGGTTTGACCACTGTTCTAACTTGCCAGGCCAGTACAAAACAGGAGGAAGGGTAGGGAGACTTGAGGGCTTTTTGCTGGGGAAATAAATGAATGTTGAAAAGGCCTTGGCAGCAGGATGAGTTCACAAACTCTCATCGCACAGGTAAGTCCAGCAAGGTTATCTCTTAACATATAAATTAGGGAGCAGTGCCACATTATATGAATTTTTAAAACTGCATTAGTATTTTCTTTTTGAGACAGAAATTTATTTTGTCACCCTCAGTGGAATGCCATGACATCACAGCTCATGGCAACCTCAAACTCTTGGGCTCAAGTGATTCTCCTGCCTCAGCCTCCCGAGTAGCTGGGACTACAGGCACCTAACACAATACCTGGCTCTTTTTTCTATTTTTAGTAGAGATGGGTCTCACTCTTGCTCAGGCTGGTCTTGAATTCCTGAGCTCAAGCAATCTACCCTCCTTGGCCTTTCCAAGTGCTAGGATTACAGGCGTGAGCCATCACACCCGGCCAAAACAGTATTAGTTTCAAAAATTGATTCTGCCTTATATTCCAGATGGCAAATTTTTTAAAAAGCACAACTTTGCAAACTTTATAAAAGTTTAATTTTCATGGCCAGGCACGGTTGCTCATGCCTGTAATCCTAACACTCTGGGAAACCAAGGCAGATTGCTTGACCTCAGGAGTTTGAGATCAGCTTCAGTAAGAAAGAGACCCAATCTCTACTAAAAATAGAAAAACTAGCTGGGCACTGTGGCAGTTGCCTATAGTCCCAGCTGCTTAGAAGGCTGAGGCAGGAGGATAGCTTGAATCCACAAGTTTGAGGTTGCTGTGAGCTACGATGCCACTGCACTCTAGCATGGACAACAGAGTAAGATACTATCTCAAAAAAAAAAAAGTTTAGTTTCACTAAAAATAACTACAGGTTCATTATCCCTTGTTCCAATGGGCATGTCCTTTGGGTGTCATGTCAGTGGTCAGAATTTCTCTGATTTTGAAGCATTTCAAAGATTTCAGATTTTTGGACTTGAGATGTGAAACTTTACATCATCTTTAATTAACAGCATATACTCACAAATCCTATTTACCTCATAGTCAGGAAGGAAAGGCAACTATTTGTCACTTACCAGCTCTAACGCCTTCATGAAAGTCATGACCTTCCTGAAAGAAAATTGAGATTAAAGGTGGGTAATTTCTGGGCACCCGTATTCCTGATGATCATCTCTCTTCTCCACCCACTTCATTCTTCCACTCCCATGGCCCCAACCTGAACCATGATCACTGGGCCACTTCTGAGAACCCACTTGCTGATCATGTTTGCCGAAGTATCTCCACTACCGCAAATCCTTGATCTTACTGAAGTCCGATGATCTTGTCACTTTCGCCCCATGTGTGTGGGCTTCACTTTGCTCTTCACCAAACCCAGTTTCATGAGTACTTTACTATGGTCACTTTCCTTTGAAAACATCCTCATCTCCCTCCAAACTTCTTCTCTTATACAAATCTAGCAAAATCCCAGCAACAGCTGAACCCTAACATGTACCCCTGCTTATATTTGAGCAGAAAAATCTTCCTAAAGAAAATCATACAACTATAACTGGTTTCTTTAAAATTCATGATCACAGATCTCAGACACGGAAAACTGCTGAACAAATCCATTATTTCTTCCCTTCTCCCCAAGATGATAATTTAAACTGTTTCTCTCCTTTCAGCTTCTACCCCTAGAAGACACTCTACTCTTAACTATATTTTCAGCTAATTACTTCACCTCCTACCTACTCCATTAGAAACAGAGAAGACTTCCAAAACAGTCTTGTCTTCCTACCACTAAAACGCCTACAGACAACTGCACTTTCCTTTCACGACTATGGAAGAAGAAACCATTCCCCTCTCAAAGGCCAGTCCTCACCTGCATTCCAGTTCACATCCCCTCTCGCCTCCCCAGGGGGCTACCCATTTCTCTGTCTTTTCCTGGCATCATCAGTGCAGGCAATACTATATAACTGAGCGGCTAAATGTTTGTTCAAATACCTGGACTCACATCCTCATTCTTCTGCATATTAACCACATGACCTTGGGCTAGATTTTCTGTATGTGAAATGGAAATATCAATACACCCATTGTCAGGCAGTGCCTGTGGCTCAATGATTAGGGCACCGGCCCCATATACTGAGGGTGGCTGAACCCGGCCGGGCCAAACTGCAACAAAAAACAGCCAGGTTCTGTGGTGGGCACCTGTAGTCCCAGTACTAGGGAGGCGGAGGCAAGAGAATCGCCTAAGCCCAAGAGCTGGAGGTTGCAGTGAGCTGTGATGCCACAGCACTCTACTGAGGGTGACATAGTGGGACTCTGTCTCTACAAACAAAAAAATAATAACACACTCATGATCATATTATTTTAATCCAAATCCCAGTATACTGACACAGAGCAGGTGTTAGGCAAATGTTAACTATTATTATCATCAATCCTATTGGATCATTCCCAATCATTTACAGTGATGTTCAGGTACTTTCCATCTTTCAAAATAAAAAACCTCACCGATGCCACAGTCCCAGCATCTACTCCAGATGTTTCTAGAAGAGTTTATACACATTCTGTCCCCACTTCTTCACATTCCATTTACTCGTTTCTTCTCCAGCTTCCTGCACTATCTGCGCACCACTCCTCTAAGATGGCTTGCCAATGTCACCCAAAACTGCAATGCTGTCAAGTTCAAAGAACACTTCTAATCCAGCAGCGTCCAACGCTGTTCATCATTCTCTCCTCTCTCCTGCTTTGCGGCACCATACTCTCCTGGTTCTCCTACCTCTCCGACCCTTTCCCCCCCTCCCACTGCTCTCTCTTTATCCCACCATAAATGCTGAAGTTCTTCAGGGCTCAGATCTGGCCTCTTTCATTTTCTATGGAATCTTATCCATTCAGTACTCAACACATGAACTTGAGTTATCAGTTCCGTTAAAAGTAGAAGATCATGACATTCCTCTACAGAAAACAATCTAGTGGCTTCCCATTTTACTCAGAACAAATGCCAGAGTCCTTGCAGAGACCAGCACGGCTCTGTACCCTCTGCATGGCCCTTCCGTACACTGCTCCCTCTGGCTGCATCTCTCACTCACACCCCTTCTCTGCAGCCTCCTCACTGTTCCTAGCAAAGGCAGGCACACTCCTGCCTCAGAGCTTTGTGCCTGTGGTCCTCTCTGCCTGGGCTTCTTCCTCAGACTCCTGCATGGCTCACTTCCTCACTTCTCACACTTCTACTCAAAGAAGCCTTCTCAGTGAGGTGTCCTCTGGGCCTTCTGTCTACATCCTCTATCCCATATCCTCTTTGATTTTTTTTCCTCCGTATTATTTATAATTATGCACCCTATATTTTATGTATCCATCACTGTTACAGTCTATTTACCCAGTCTAAAGTAAGAGTTCCAGGAGGGCAGGCACCTTGTGTTTTGTTTCCTTTGTATTCCTGGTACCTCTAACAGGACCAGCACATAGTAAGCACTTTGTTTACTTACTTATTCCCACAGTTGTCTACTTACTTTGTTTACTTCTTGTTCCCTTAGTTGTTTTTTAATCAGTGCTAGTGTCTTTCAAACTTAAATCTCTAATTCATACCTCTACGCTCCAACTCCTAAATGTATGTATTCTTTCCCTCCCTTCCATCATCAGATCCTATCAATTCTATCTCCTACATTTGTTTCAAATTTGTTTGCTTCTCTCCTTTGCCACCAGGCAAGTCTAAGACACTACTACTGATCACGCCTAGATCACTGCAGTAAACTCATGCCTGGTCTCTATTTCTACTTTATTAATTAATTAATTTGTTTATTTATTTTTGGAGATGAAGTCTGTGTCACCTGGGCTAGAGTACAGTGGTGTCATCATAGCTCAAACTCCTGGGCTCAAGTGATCCTTCTGCCTCAGCCTCCAGAGTAGCTGGGACTACAGGTGTCCGCCACCACACCTGGCTGATACATCCACTCTGAGCACCCCAAAACCTATCTGCACTCAGCCATAATTATCATCTTAAAGCAAACTGAATCAAACGAAAAATGAGATTGCTCCATATTAAACCCAAGATGCTTTTTAAGATACTCATTTCTCCTCCTTTAGGTCACGATTTCAAAGACGTCTTCCCTAATGTACCTAAACCAGGCTTCCCTTTGCCTCCCAACTCCCTGCTGTCCCCGCAGCATCCTCTTCAATGCTGTTTCCTTGAGAGCACTTACAATAGTTCATAATTATTTTATACTTATTTTGTTTACTTGTTCTTTATAGTCTCAGTAGACTAAACTCCATGAAAACAAAGGACCATTTTCTCATTCAACAACATAACTAATACTCAGCACAGTGCCTGGTACATAATTAACATGTCTGCTGAAAGAAGGAAGGAGGGAATCAATCAATCTAGGCAGTGTACTAAAAGTGCCCTGGAAACCATGGACTGACTGTGAGGTGTGCAGGAGAGTGGCCAAGAGCACTGGCACTAGGGTAAGGCTGCCTGATTTCACAGGCCACATCTCTGCCACTTAATGGCCACACGACCTTAGGCAGCTTACTTCTCCACTTTACTTACTGTCCACTTTAATTATATTTACAATCATACGTCTAACATTAATTAAAACACGTAAACAGACTAGTAAATTCCATTTGTGCATTTTATACATATATACTTATAATGGCCCTTATTTTATCAATGAGGGAATTCAGATTTAGAGTTTATGCTTTGTCCAAAGTCACAAAGACTCTGCCTAAAAAATGGTTAATTTCTATTTTGAATTCCCCAGGAGTTTAGAGCACTCCTCACACTTACATACAATTGTAACTGCTATTTCATGAAGGCTTAATAACAACAAGGGTAGCAATACTTGCATACATCTAAAGCTAACGGGCCTGCTGTGTTTTCATGGAGTAAATCTGCAGGTAGTTTTTAATGTTCATGTTTACATTAAATGTATTTAAATGTACTGATGTGGCACCTGTGGCATAAAGGACTAGGGCACCGGCCCCATATACTGGAGATGGTGGGTTCAAACCCAGCCCCAGCCAAAAACTACAAAAAAATAAAAAATAAATGTACTTTACATATTCTACAATGAATACTTACTACTTTCATAACTAAAAAGTGACAATTAAAAAAAAAAGATTCTTACCATACAAGCTTGACTTAGCCGATACTCCATAGTTAATACCTCCTGCAAGGTCTTTGAGGACCCCTCCATGAGCTGCCTTAGTGTAATCTTTAGAGATGTTGGAGACATCTTACTAATTACCTTTTGGGGGGGAAAATACAAGTTTTAGCCCAACAGCTCCTTTATTGTGTATAATAAACTGAGTTTATATATAAATCATATTAAAATATGCCCTTTAATAGTACTTTCATATGCCAAAGTCTCATAAAAGATTATAATCTAATCTTGCCAAAGCACCAAAAATAAAAGTTTTCTAATCTGTTGCAAAAACAAAACATTATCCTACAAGTAAAATAAATTCTGTCTCTGTAACTCAAGCAATAAAATTAACCTACATTTGTAGTTTGCCGGGCATAAATTATCCCAAGTAGCTAATTAATAAAATTAATACACACTTTATAAGCTACTCATATTCATGGAGGACATTTTATTTTACAAAGTAAAGAAGGTGAAGAAGCAGAGATACAGTAGTTCTTCCTTCCCAATTTGTGGCTGTGGAAAAGCATCTTAACTTCACATAAACATAAATCTACTTACCGTGGAAGTAAGGAGAGAAAACAGGTCACTGTGAAGCCCTTTTCTATGGTATTTAAATATTTAATAAAACGAGAATCACAGACACGCCACCTCGTCTACAATGCTATGTCACTCCTTTTGAATGTACAAAGGCTACCACCAGTTCCTACACATGTGTGTGACTGCTGCAAGAGGTCATGACATGCTGTGTAGATCTGATGCCCGCCCTTTCCTTTGTAATTGCAATGCATAGTTTCCAGGCTTATTGTTGAATGACAGTCTCAAAGGTTCGAACTTTACTTGAGTTCCTACAATTCCCCACTTCAGGACTCTGTGCTCTTTGTAGCACCCTTAAGTCTGGCAACCAGATTCAAGCAACAGACTCAACAGACAGGACAATATATTACCTAGCAGGTGCCAGAGCTTCCATAGAAGACCACCATGGGAGAAATTCAGGGAAATTTAATATCATAACCATAACCACAGTACTGCTGGTGAGAAAGAAAGAAAACTGATGAAGGGCTTTGATAAGAGGGGTTCTTTGTGAGAACTCATTCTTTGTCCTAGGTGCTTTATGCACATTATCCCACTTCCCACTTAATGCCCTTGATAGCAATCCTACTCTACGTTCTCACCCTTCTGGTCACAGGCTGTGTGGATGAGGGGACAATAGCATCTCTGCAGCAGTCTCTACACTGTGCTGCAACCCTCCCCTTCCTGTAGGCTGGAAGATAATGGATTCATCTTCCCGACAAAAAATCACTAGTTTCCTTTCCTGGGAGCAATACCTGTATTATCTCCAGTGAACCCCTGGCGGAACTTCATTCATGATGCTAAAAGATGTCTCTAAGGAAGTGACGCAGCCATCTTACTGGCTTTTCTAGTCTGCAAGGTCAAAGGCGCTGCACCACCAGCACTGCTGTGGGACTCAAGCCCACACTCCCTCAGCACCAGCACCAACATCAGCTGCTTATGCTTTCTACTATTGCTTGGTTTGGAACTTTACGTGTCATCTGGATTTCACAAACCACATAAATCTGTGTTTTGCTACACTTCCTCAGTTGGCTACCAAGTAATTTCATAAGAAAGGCCCCTAAGGGCCCCATTTATCTGTGTTTGTCTCATATATACATAAAAAATGGAAAAACTTCATTTAAAAATCTGTTGGTTCAGAGATTTCATGAAATACTATTTAAAGATATTTTCAAAGGTAGACACCATATAGGAAGAAACTGGTAGACTGACAATTCCAGGATCCTTATGGTTTCCAAGAACTCTTACTATGCTAGCAATTTAGCACAGAAGCTTACGGCTGGGACTCTGGGCTCAGACAGCTCTGGGTTGGAATCCCAGCTCTACCACTTCCTCCATGATTGGCCTTCGTTTCCTCATTTGTAAAACAGGGATAATCCACCTGATAAATGGTACGGCAGCGCAGGACAGTGCAAGGTGTCTGAAACTGAGCAAAACAGGGAAGAGAAGGAATATTTATAGAGCACATGTCCCTCGCCCCTCAAGGAAGTACTTTTTAACATGTTTCATCACAATGTGGGAAAGGGCATAGCACGCCCACTGTATTGATGAGAAAACCAGACTCTAACATCAATTTTTCCACAGTCACTTAGGAAGTGAAAGAACTGGAACACAAACCAAGGCTGCTGACTCGGAAACCTACCTCCTACCACATGAGGCTATAAAAATAGTCAAGAATGTCAAAAGCTGCAGGAGAATTTGAACAACAACCAAAAAAAAACACAAAAAAAACAAACAGAAGAGGATACTGCATCAGGTAATAAACACAAGTGAATACAAACTTGCTGTATAATTTTGATGGCAAGAGGGAAGATAAAGTCTGGACAGTAGCTTGAAGAACAACAGGATCAGGGAAGGCCCTTTTTTTTTTTTGGAAAAAAGCTTTTTGAAAATAGTGGCAAAAGAAAATGTGTCACTAACTCAAGAAGGTAAAATTGAAGATACTGAAAGAGGGAGATCATTAATTCCTAGAGGGCGCAGGAAAGGATGGAACGCGATCACAGATGGTATTGCTCACGGCAAGGAGAAATCTGTTAGAGGAAATTAAAGAAGGGAAGATGAAAAATAGTTAAAGGGGTTCATATAATATGGTTTCAATCATTAAAAAGGACACGCATAAGAGTATTCTGGAAAATCTGATAAACAATTAAGACTTGAATCTTTACCTATCCCAAAAATATGTACTGATACAAATCTGTGCCCGCATAACTTAGTGAATATATTTCTTTTTCTTATAGAACACTGGTCTGTGTTATGGCAGCTCAGTTGGCAGGGCGACAGCCACATACAACTAGGTTGGTGGGTTCGAACCCGGCCCCGGCCAGTGAAAAACAACAATGCAACTTCACAACAACAAAAAAATAGCCAGGCATTGTGGCAGGCACCTGTAGTCCCAGCTACTTGGGAGGCTGAGGCAAGAGAATGCTTACGTCCAAGAGTTTGAGGTTGCTGTGAGCTGTGACGCCACGGCACTCTACCCAGGACAACAGCCTGAGACTCTGTCTCAAAAAATAAATAAATAAATAAATAAATATTAGTTGTTTGAAGATTAATGGGGAGGAAGATTAGTCTCCTACTATCCAGGAGCCAATTTCTTTTTTCCTTTATTAAATGATTCACATTCTGATCTCAATTCAACAATATTATTGATCATCTATTATGCAACAGACACCTTAGGGAAGACAATAATAGACAGACATGGTCCTTGCAGTTAAAGAGCATTATCAGCACTATAACCACTACCCTTCAGAGTGATGCTGTCTCAAAAACAACCAAAAAACCTAATTAATGGAAACCTAACTAGTTGTAACCTAACTGAAAGGAATACATAATAAATGTGTAGGATGGATACACACAGGAGAAGAATTTTGCAATCCTCTGAATAAAGGCTATAGGATACACAGGCTACTAACATGCTGTGAGATGAACTTCTAATCCTTCAGTGGCCAGTAAAAGGCCACCTTGCCCTTTTTTTTTTTTTTTTTTTTGCCATTTTTGGCCAGGGCTGGGTTTGAACCCTCCACCTCCAGCATATGGAGCTGGCACCCTACTCCTTTGAGCCACAGGTACCACCCTTTTGCCCTTTTAATTTCTCACATCTATCATGAAAAATGCTCTGTGATAGGTGCTTGGAGAGACAGGGATAAGGCGGCTGTCAGGAGATTATAATTTGTGCTAGGTATCACTCAACAAAGCAAAAAGACACAATAGAATAGAGACAAGCAGATAGAAGCACACAAACCTTTATAGAATAACACTGTCACTTAATGGTGGTTTACAATATTGCCACTGAGGATCTGAAGCTGTGTTGTGTTTTTATTTAAATGGGAAATCTCTTAGCATTTGCCCTCAGGGCTGAATGAAATTAAGTGGAAGGTAGAATGTAAACCACAAGTAATAAGTCACATCACGTTATTTTAAAACCAAGCAGCAAAAGCCCTGTTATATTTTGCACACTAAATAGGTCTTTAATTTTAACTAGTTAAAATCAACCATAGTCAAGATTTATGTCTTGCTATGAATTATAAATATTTTTCTAATATTTAGAAAAGATCTAATAATCTTATACATTATATACTTATATCTATAAATCTTCTCCAGAAGTGTTCAGACAATAAAATACAAGTCCACTTCAGTGATCAGTACAGTTTCACAGAAACATTTTTATTTTTTAATGTATTTTCACTATTCTGAAATGTTATATTACTATATAACCAAATAGCCCTTTGCTTAAAGAGATGGCGCTAGTATTTCTTTTTTCTTATCTACAGCAAAAGGCTTAGAGCCAGTGCAAGAGGAGTGTTTTCTGCAACCTGATCATAAGACTTTTCTGGTAATTTCCTAAAAGCATTAACAATTTAAATAAAATGAAAAGATGGCATGTAAAGATGCAAGTATTGCCAATTTCTGATACCCTAAATGCTCGTGACAGCATTTCAGGGTCACTAAGGTCCCTCCTATTTACATAAGTTTATACATTTTCTCTTAAAGTTAACTGCATTTGTTCCCCAAAGGCACAATATATCAACACTGCCACTAAACTGCTCTTACTAATAGCAATAAAGTGCACTATAATGGGTATTTTCAGCAAATGTAACACATACCTCTATAGAGTAAACCATTTTTTAACATAATTTGGTAAGTCAATTTTTTTTTTTTTTCACTATGTCACCCTAGGTAGAGTGCCGTTGCATTACAGCTCACAGCAACTTCAAACTCTTGGACTTAAACGATTCTCTTGCCTCAGCCTCCTGAGTAGCTGGGACTACAGGTGCCCACCACAATGACAGGCTATATTTTTGGTGCAGTTGTCACTGTTGTCTAGCAGGCCCAGGCTGGTCAAACCCGCCAGCTTTGGTGTATGTGGCCGGTGCCCTACTCACTGAGCTACAGACGCCAAGCCGGGTAAGTCAATTTTATTTTTAGTTTTAATATATAATTTATATGATAAAATTCACTCATTTTAAGTGCACAAAGTTCTATAAGTTATCTTATTTTTTCAGAGACAGGGTCTTCCTATTTCACCCAGGGTA